TTATTTTTTGTGAACAAATAAAATGTTATTTATTTATAAATTGTACGTAATTCTTGAGTTCAAACGTATATATAAATTGTACGTAATTGGAAAAAGGCTTAAACATTGTCACTACGAATCAATTATCAATTGATATTTGAAGAGGGCCTCCAGTGCTCTTGTTTTGTCACATGGGGGTATTATGGTAATTACAATACATGGGAATATTTGGTCTGTTAGGCAAACATGCAGGGCCTGTTTGGGAGGGTTGACGCTTTGATCTAGAAAAGCCATTAAAAGAACCCCCATGTAGCAAGTACGTCGTAACCCATATAATTGGTGGGATAAGGCTTAAATGATGGTGATTATTGTGGATATGATGCCTCTGCATCATTTTAATGTACAATTACAGCACACGTGGCAACTTTTATTATAATAACAACATATCCTTAGCAGAACCCATGTGGTAAAGTAAAGTAATCAAGACATAGCGTTGTGATGAATTTGTTGTCTTTCGACCCATAGAGCTTCAAAAATCAAAACTTACCATTTGTAATAGTTTATATAAATGTTCTCAACATGAACACACTTTTGAGACTATTTTCAATCCAAACCACTTTGAGCTGATCAATGCGTCATTTTTATCATTTGTACTAGTTTGGGTCTGACAAAATTTTTATCATTTTTATTATTAATATATAATAATAGAGAAATGTCCAATTTTTCTACAAAATTTATGACTTTCTTTTTGTATGTCAACATGGTGGTCTAACCAATTGAACCATTAGACCGCTTGTCCTGATCAATGGGGTGGGTTAGATATTAGTTTCATTTTTATATTCAATTTCTATTGTTAGTAAATATAATTCTTATTTATCACACTTTCCTTAGTTTAATATGCTGGATAAATAATATTAGAGATGTATCTAAAAGTATTCTTTTAAGAAAATTTATATATTTTTCTACTTATTTTATATATTTAAATTTTTTATTATTTAATTTTGGCATCCCAAGTTGACCTATTTGACTCGGCCACCTAGATGAAAAAATGGTTTCACTTGTTAGTTATCCTTAAAAATAATATGAAGGTGGGGGGGTAAATTATTTATTTTCATCTCATATTAAAAAAATTATTTGTTGCAAAATCAAATTTCAAACAGTTCCAAACTTTGGATTCAATTAGTTAGCCAAACAAAATTTAATGCAAAGAAAAGGTTGGGTTGATGCATGCCATGGACAATCCGAAAAAACCAATTTTTTTGTGATCAAATTCAACATATTACATTTAATTATTTTCTTATACATTTTAAATTATATATGGTGACGAGGCTGAATTTTGATAATTGGTCTTATGATGTTATAATCTCTGGACTTATTAGGTGGTTTTATCCATTCAAAATCACTAAATCCAGTTATTCTCTAATTTTGTCTGTTGACCCAGTTATTGTTGGGAGAATGACCAAAACCCTCATTTGTTCATTCTTAACATGTTGGATAATTCCATAGTCATGTGACAAGTCACATGTTGGGGGAAAATCGGTCATCTCTGTGCTACACTGTTATACCTACAACCGAGTTTTCCTCTTTAATTATATCGTTATAAATATCTATTTTTTTTATAATATTCTTTTAATTGTTTATTTTTAAGGTGTGTTTTTTTTCTTCTTCTTTTCTTTTTCTCCCATCTCTCTTGTTTTGACTTTGTAGGCTGAAGAGCTGAACAGAAGATTAATTAGCAGACAAACAGTTATCACTATTGTGGTTGTCTTTTGTGTCGATATCATGTGTGGGACTCACTTCAAAGAAAAAGAGAATCAATTAACATGAGAAAAACATATCGACGATTCATCTAATTCATAAAACACTGAAATTAAAATCGTTTCCTGTGGTTATCATTTTCATGGGAATTATTGCAACTTAGCAAATGTTTAATGTTGGAAAACAGCCAAACTCCCCAAAGCATAATACTGTAACAGCACATTAGTTCTTAAAATGGACTCGGTACGACGGTATCTGCTGCAAACACAGCTTGTATTATAGGCTATGTAACCCATTATGAGTTAACATGCCAGTGTATCATACATAAGGAGCTGAATGAAGTACTAGAAATTGGTTACACTTTGTTAAATGCAGTTTGGCCCACTGCAATAGGGGTGCAACTTGGGTGGGCTTGGATTGGGTGTTTTTGTCAAAATTTGAATGGTCCGAGCCTGGAAAACATGACCAAACGCGCACCGACCACGTCAGTGTTACGTACATATGGGACTGCATTGAATACTAACGTATTCACTGGTGATTGATTACATTGCCTGTTAAATGCAAGCTTGGCGCAGAGAATCAGGGGTGCAACTTGGGTGGGTTCGGATTTGCGTTTTTGTCAAAATTTAAATGGCCCGGGCCCAGAAACCTGGGCACCATGCAGTATAAAATATTAAAATCGGGTACCCAATTGCACTCCTATTCATTACTCACCAGTTCACCACTCTAACTGTTGTCACCGTCAGCGAGAAAAATGAAAGAATGCACCTTTAGGTTGATAGAAGGTTTTCTTCTTTAATCTAAAACTCCACTCACTTTTTCTCATCTCTCTTAAACTTACCCTAATTTTTCAAAATATCCATGGACCCCCTCTCAGAAAACTTTTGTTATATAAAACTTACCTTCCATCAGTTCAATGTTAGTAATAATTAACAAAAATTGTACAGTTGGAACATTAATTATTTTTGATGACCAAATTAGCCTTCTTGCTTTGTTAAACAATTGTTTAGAATAGAAAACAAGGTAAAAAAGCAAAATCGGACATGTGAAAGGAAAAGGATTGGACAAAGATGGCAGAAAGACATGACATTGAAAGAACTTATAACCAATTAACCCACATCATAAAAGAATCAGGTGGGTTTCATCAAAATTCATGGGAGTTTTGATTGATTAAAGCCTTTCAAGCATCGTGTCTTTCTGGTATCATAAATTTTTGAAAAGAAAACATGTCTAAAGTGAAAGCACCAACTTATGGATTTTTCTAGTTAACCTTAATCGATCACCGATATAAAACAGCTTGTCCAATGCCGTCGGACAAGTAGCGAGTCGATGAAATGCATTCCTTTTGTATAAGAATTGCTTAAGGATTTTGACGTTAAAGTGAGGTAAGGAGACAATGAAGATAAACCTTGACAATCTCTGGTAAGGGGTCTCTAGAGGTTTTGAAAAAAGTGAAGAGGGGAGTTTTAGATAATAACCCTTGATAAAAAAAGGAGGAACCGAAAATTAGAAAAAAAGAGTTAGTAAGTAATTTTACCAAAAAACAGAAAGAAAGTAGAGGAAAAGTTTTTAAGTAGTTTTAACCCCCCAAAAAGAAATAAACTTCTGTTTCTCTTTTATGGTGGTTGAATCTACCTCACTGTTGTCTGATTTTAAAAACTGTTGTCTGAATGAATCCACACTATTTTGTCATGGAAGGAAAACTGTGATATGTCAATGTCATGGATTTCAACAGTCAGTAGATTGTTTCAGAACGTGCCACACCCTTGGATGAACCAGGTAATCCACAAAATTTCTACACCACTGAACACCGCCTAAATGGGAGTTGGCATTCTGTGGACCTGTGGGTTTACCAAGAAGTATGCCACATTTTAAGTTTTACTTTAGTTAACAGACATTCTACCTACCATTAGCAACTGGAATCCGGTTGAACCGGATACAAAAGGACAAAAATACATTAAATCTATTCGAACTCCTTCCTCCTCCTCTCCTCTGTCAAGCCCTAACCCAAAAGCATCCCACATCCCACCGGTGATCTCACTATACACCGGTGTTCATGGACACGAAATCCACCTACGACGGTCCTGCAGTAAGCGGAGAATATTCTTCTTCCTCCTCCCATTACTCTTCCTCCTCTCCTTCCTCTTCTTCCAATCTTCTTTGAACCCTAACCCAGAAACATCCCATATCCCACAGACGAGGGTATAACAAGCTTCTATGTTGCCAGCATCTGCACATTATTTTAAGAATCGAGGAGACTATTTAGACCAGTTTTTGGCTTTCACCTATTGTGAAAATAAAAGATCAGAAGGAGTTGACACAGACAGAAAGAGAGAGAGAGAGAGGAACAAATTGTTTTAAAGTATTGGCTATGCGGATTTGTAGAGAAACAAAGAGCTCCCTCAAAGGAAATGGAGGAAATGCAGTTTTTAGGTGGGGGAAATTTCCTACCAATGTTATATATTGGAGTAGCTTCTTTTGAGATAAATAGATGATTTTGTTCTATTTTCCTTAAAGCAATAAAATCAACAGGGAAAATTCAAAGATAAGAGGAAACAAATCCTCTTCATGTTATTTTTCATCTCAAGTTACTAAAAGGAGATTCTGCCATAAATCAGGCCGTTAGAGAGAGAGAGAGAGAGAGGGGGGGGGGGGTAATAAGAACATTGATAAAATCAGAAGCAATGGACCTGAGCTTGCATAAAAGAGTTTGCATCCCGTGGAAGGAGAGGAGGAATAATAATGGGAGGAAGAAGATGAATAATAATCGCCACTTACCGCCGCTGGTGGATTTTGCATGCACAAACGCCAATGTATAGTGAAATGGCCGGTGGAATGTGGGATGTTTTTGAGTTAGGGGTCAGCGGAGGAGAGGAAGAAGAGGGAGTTGGAATGAAATCGCTTGGAAGTGGGTTTGATGTATTTTTTGTCCTTGTATTCGGTTCAACCAGATTCTTAGTTACTAACGGTAGAAAGCCCATTGACTAAAGCCGAAATTCAAAATGCTAATGTAGTATCTTTTTATTGCTGGGTGGCTACAGACTAGTCTGAAAACCCAAAACCGCTGGACACAGAAAGGCAACTCGGCAATAGTTTTTCCAAATAGGCATACCCAATTGGAAAAACTAGGGGGTTGCAACTTGCGCCTCACTTGCCAACAGTTAAGGTTCCAGGTGTTCTTTCTCTAGGTTTGCTTTAACCCAACCAAAAGTGGACAGCACTCAGGATGGTCTTATAATTTACAAGTGGATGGAATAATCATGGAAATGAAAAGGCATCAAATCTATTGGTCATTGCACATTGGAAAACAAGCAAATGGTGGATTCTACTATATCACTCAATATTCCTTCATGTTCTCATACATTGAAATCGAGTTTTAATGGGGAGTGATCCAGAAACATGTCTGCTTACATTACACACCCATCCACCTAATCCTTTGATTCATTCTTTTAACACCCTACAAGGTCCCTCCACTTGAGATAAACCAACCCTGCACGATAGTGAGTGTATGCTCCAGCCACGACCAACACATGAAACAGCTGGTGGCTGTGACCAGCAATGTCAAATTTCCCTGGCCTCCACCGCTCGGGAATCCTAGTTGCGTACACCAGGGCCCCAATCCCATACAAAGCACCCATCAATATCTCGTAACCTGTGGTGTGGAGGGCCTCTGGTTGGTTTCTGAACAGGATTAGTTTGTGCATTATGGGAGCTACCCCTGACATGCCCATGCCAAAGAAGAGCATGGCGCGTATGCTGCGGTACTCTGGGTTTTGGAAGACTGGGAGGAGAGACACCACAATCGTGGCGATCCCCAGCAGTGTAATGAAGCCTAAGTAGAGATTGCAGAAGAAGGGGTTGCACATGAAGGAGTAGTACACAGAAGGATAAAAGGAGGTTGATATGAGGGCGGCAATGCCAGTGTAGTCAAGCCTGAGCATGATGTAAGAGAGGCGCTCAGAGTGGCAGGAGAGAAGATGGCAAGTGCTGCTGGCTAATAGACAAAACATGGCTCCACCCATAAAAGCAAAGAATGGCCACCGTGTGATTGGTCTTACCATCAAGGGTGCTATCATATTTACCACATCCTCCTTCATGCTACGCTGCATTTAATCAAAATATGATTAATATTAGCTCCTTTCTTTTTCTGTAAAGTAAAACATATCATGTTTCCTAATGTAACATGTTCTCTCAGTGGGAAAAATTGGTCACTTGTATAACCCTCTGAAACACTAGTAGTTTTTGGTAACATTGGCAAGGGAGGACTGGAGGAGCAATAGATGTGCATTGCCATATTTTCTTTTCTTTTTTTTTTTTCTGGAAACTTGATATGCATTGCCATGTTAGCATCATCTTTGCAAGCTTTGGAATTTATTATTATTAATAGACTGGATCATCGTTTATTTTCTTAAAGCAGCACCATGCAAAGCAAAGACAAACACAACCATTGGTACCACCAAGTAAATTTGAAATTTGCAAAATAATCACAAGAAAAGTGGCAAAAAATAACTATTGAACAATTATAGGTGGAATATTGTCTATAAAAAACAAGTCAGGAGATTAAAAGCATGATTATCAAAGATATACAGATAAAATAGTCATATATTTTTCACACTGAATACAGTTAGCAATTCCATATTCAAACTTTTCTCCCATCTTTTAAAAGAAAATTATGTAAGAAACATGAAAATTGAAAATAAAGACAAATGACACAGGTTCTGGGGTAAAAGCACAAGTTCTCTAGTCAATTTGCACATATGAGAAAATCATTTAAGCACTAGGGCCATGTTTGGTTGCAGTGCAAATTTATTTCCACTAGTACAGATGCATGGGAGTGCAAATGTAAAAAATGCAAATTCTTGTTTAATTTTGTTTAGGATTTTACTTTATTCTGCTTCATGTCTTAATTTACTTCATTTGTACGGCAATCAAACAAAATAAGCTAAAATTTGAAACAAAAATAGGTCAGGATTTATACTCAAATCATTTGCACTGCCATGGTTTTGCATCAGTGCAAATTTATTTGCATTGCAACCAAACACAGCCAGTCATTTGCATTGTGACAAAAAGTTAATATTTGGGATAACCATCACCATCTGACCGTCACCCTCATGCAAATTAGACTTTTTATGATAGCATAGAACCTCTGCCAGTAAAACCTTACCAGGCAACAAACCTCATTTCCTTAATCTACAAGATAATTAGGGGCTAACACCACTTTGCTAGTTGACAAAATAAAGGGTTTTATTATCTCTTCTATATTGAAAGGTATGGACAAATGCCTTCCAGGTGTAAGATGCTTGAGTATCTATTATACCCAGGCATAGCACAATTATTGCCAAATTCTAGCAAGTTTCATTTCAGCATCTAACAACTCAATAAAGAATTATCCCAACCACACAAGATAAGCAAGGGGACCTTCAGCACGTGAATTCCCAAAAAAGAGGATTTTAATTTCAATATGCTTTTAATCACTTTTTTCTTTGGTAAAACATAAAATACTTGCAAGTAATTGCTTGATGAAATCATGTGCTTCAACAGAATTAAAATCCTACCAGTATGGATATAATGCTTCAAGAGAATAACTTGCATTGAACTTTTTATTCCATTTTGAAATTTTCACTTGGGGGTCATTTGATAACAGTTGAAGTGGCTGAACATAATGGCTCATTGCTTTGGTTTTCAGCGAATAAGTCATTAAGTAGTTTGTGAGCTCCTTAATGGCGGAATGGCATGTAGGGTTAATAATTATTTCATTCCTCAATACAACTATCTTATCCACTAAAGAAATATTGCTAAAGCAGAGGATGAGTAACCAAACCCAATTATAATGAAACCTAAATGAATAAGTAAACAATATTTAAAGGCTGATAAATGAACAAAAATTAAGCAGAAACACAAATATCTCAAAACATTCATTGCAAAACATATGACACTCGTGATATTCCAAACAAAAATCTTCTATGAGGAATATTCATCCTAACTTAAATAAAGGACAAGAATAGCTGAGAAATTGCAACAAAAAATATAAGTTACATTGCTTTTAGTTAGTTTTCTTGCACAGGGAATAATTTGAATTTTTCTAGAAAAGGTTAACAAGTAGCAATATGAAGAATTAATTTTTCTTCAATCAATTCAAAGAGAGAAACAAAAAGGTTGACATCATTTATACCAGTAAAATAACAAAGAAATGAAGAATGATGTCTGATGTTGGTATTGAGTCTACAGAGATATTCATTTGCAACATCCAAACTAAGGGAAAAGGGCATTACCAGAACACAAGGATCAGTATGGTTGCTGTGGGAGAACCGCTCAGGCAAACAGTTTGCAAGAAGTTCCGGAATATGCCAACCAGACAATGATGGAAGCATATCCATCGAAGGCAAGGATGTTTTGAACTCATCTCGCAGCTTTTGCAAATCAGGCATGTTAGGCATGGAAGGAAGGCAAGTCAATAGCTCGTGCAGATCAGCTTTTCTCAGCACATCAGGGAGATGAGGCAGGGACTGGAGATCCACAACTTTTGGAACTTTCATTGCAGTATATATTGTAAGGGATAGGAAAAGGAAGAAACCTATCAAGTGCCTGAAACAATTATTATTCGGGTTTCAGGACAAGAAAATTTCCACAGCTGAAAAAGGTCAAACCAGATATGTTTTCTTTTGCTAAAGTCTAAAACACAAGCAAACATGCAACTAGCATAGTTGTTATTAGTTTGGTTGAAGACCATCTTTTGTTTGAATAGTTAGTAGGTGTATGAGTGGTGAGTCCCGTGGGCTCACAGCTATGGAAAATTAAAGACAGAGGGAAAAGAAGAAACATTTTCAATAATGTATTGCCTATCATCTCAACTACCAAAGCCAACAACTATAATCAAACCCTTAAAATTAACAATGACAAAGATTGAGAGAGCAAATCAGTAAACACAAACCCATATTTTCGCAAATTCAAGATGACTAAAAAACCCTGAAACTTCTATGCTTCAATATATGTTTGTCAATTGCCAATCGGCCCAATTCTAACAGATTTCAAAGATTTATGAGTTATTGCAAGAAAACCCATCTTAGAGAGAAAGAACGAAATGCAACACACCACAAAAAAAGGGGGGAAAAATTCAAACATCAAATTACAACATAATAACAGATAAAAGAGTTAAAAGGAAAAGATGCGTTTTTTAGGAAGGAATCCTTACGTCCAGACATTGAGAGTCTCGTTGTGAATAGAAAATATGCTTAAGAGCACTTGCTTCAGAGGCCATTCAGATCTGTAATGACCCAAAATGAACTCATTGTCCCTCAAATACTCGGGCAATGAGTGGTACTCGACGAGCTGATACTTCACCTTCTTCCAGAACCTCGTCCTTTTCCCTCCCTTGGAACATATCTGACTCCCTTCTTCGAACCGACCATTCTCAAATTTCTCGGAAGGAAAGGGCAAATTCTCGCACTCCTTACAACCGCTGCCCATTTCTTCAACCCAGAGAAGAAAGTCGTAATAAGCAAATAAATAAAACAATCATGAAGCGAAGGTCCATTTATAGAATAAGAGGAAGAACCTAAAATCCCTAACCCTTCATCCCCAAAATAAAAGACCCAGAAGAACCGACCGAACAAAAACGTACCTGGAATTGCAGAAACGCCACCTGGGAGCGGAGCCCAGAAGCGGATAATTCTGATTTCTATTTATTTAATCAATTTGGAATCTCTTAGGCGGTGATCAGTAGAGAACCCACCACTCGGTAAAGAGACGATCAAATGCAAGAAAAGGGACAGCTGAGGTTAAAAGCTGACTCCCAACGAATGCTTACAAGTATTTAATACTTATTAAAATTCAGAACCCGATAAACATCGATGAATTGAGAATGGTGAGTAGCAGAAACTTTCAACTTTCCTCCCTTAGATCTTAATCTTTTTTCTTCTTCTGGGTAATTTATGGTGGTTGGAGAGGAACAAGTAGAAATTAGAAATTTAGAATATCGTGAGAGAAGTATTCGAGAAGAGATTCGAAGATGCTTGAAGATAGTTTTGTTCGTTGGGGAGTGGGACTCTCTGCAAAAGTTCTGATCTGCTCGTCACAGAGCGCGCCTCACACTATCTTCACAGTGCATCGTAACCGTGCGTTCGGAGCATCTTTCCATGAATGATAACATCATGTACGGAAGATGTTCTCAGCGCACGGCTGCGATGAACTATGAGGTTGGTGTGAGGCGCTCTTTCTGAGAAGCAGACCCGATCTGCTCTCTGCACGGGTAAGTTGGAAATTTGAGAGCGATGGGTCATTTTTGTAATTTTATTTTTCTTTTTTCTCTGTCGGAGTGAGCCAAACATGACTTGACTCGAAGAGCCAGTCGATGATGCCATGATGGATCTTCACTCGGAATTGCCGGAGGGCCTGAATAATCTATGATAAGCTGTTTCCGATTCCCACTTGACACCAATCCGACGATCACGAAAGATCTCGTCATCAAGATTCTAATGTAACAAATCCTGCTTTGGATAAAAATATCTTCTTTATTATTTGACTTTTGTTTTTTTTTTTTAAGTCAAAAAACGAAAATACAACGAACGATTTTTCTATTTTTTTCGATTATGAATAATTTAAAACAAAAAAACAAAAAGGAAAGGCAACTCTAGACGCTGTTTATTATTGACTGTTTCTTATTGACTTGGTCAATTGAAAAATTATGCTACTCTTCCGATTCTTTGCCAAATAGAACTCTAAATGGGTCGGGTCTGATTCGGGACAGAGTGGTAGGTGGAGCAATCCCGGATCGATTATTAATCGGTTCATAAATAGAACTGAACCAATCATAAATACTAAATAGAGAAAATCGGGTATGATCCGACTAAGAGTAGGCTAGGGGTATAGTGTGTTGTAGGTGGTTTTCTATGGATGTGGATATCTCTGAGAGGATTTGATCGAGCAGCTTGGAGCTTGTGGTTATCTCTGAGATTATATTCATCTTCGGAGGTTGTGGTTTTGCAAAATGTCTTGCCTTTGGTATAGTGTTAGATCTTTCTTACTATTCCTTAACCGCCCTGGACTATGTTCTCTCTATTTTCTGTTCTTCTTCTTCTTCTTCTTCTTCTAAAACGACTACCTCTGATCATTTTCCGCTTTTATCCTTTCCGGCCACTTCCTCTCAGCTTAGATTAGAATAGGTTTTTCTATTTTCCTTTCCACCCTGGACTACAGTTGCATGTAAAAACTAAAACCTTTCTCCTAACGACAGTGTTAGAAAGGTTTTGTGAGCTAGCTCCCGTTTTCCATTTTTCATTTACCGTTGGGCTCTCCTGCAACCTAGTGTGCTACGTACCGCTGTAAGATTTGCTTTTTTTCTCTCTGTCTCTTTTCAAGGTTTTCCTCTTGCCACTATCTCCATATTGGAAGGCAGGTCCTTTTCTAATCTGCTATTTAAAGCTGAACAAAATAAGGAAATTCAGGGCTTTAAGTTATGTAGAGGAGGAACTACTATTTCATACATCCTCTTTGCTGTATGCGAAGCTGAACCTAGCCAAGTCAGAAAGGTGAAAGAAATACTAGGAAAGTTTGAACAAGTGTCTGGTGAAAAAATAAACCTCTCAAAATCGGGGGTGCTTGTTTCAGCAAGTGCTGCATTCATAGGAGAAAGAAAATATATATATACTTTCTATGCTCCAATTTAAACAAATGAATGCCCAGGAAAAATATTTGGGAAATAAGCTAAGCTTTTGTGGCAGAATTATAGCACCACATGGTGAAATACTAGAGAAAATAAACTGTAAACTTGCCTCATGGAAAGCTAAACTCCTCACACACACAGGCAGGAGAACAACTTTGGTTAAATCAGTTCTACAAGCAATCTGCACATATTCCATGTCTACTTCCATCAACTCTGCCCACAAAAATAATCAATCAAGTAGAGAAGTATCAGAAATTCTTGGTGGGATGGAGAAAATCCAAAAATGAATCAACAGAGAAGGAAAAGTATAAACAGATCTAATGCAGATTTCTGATTTCCACTGCAAAGATATAAATATTCAAAATGCCAACCACCCACACTGTATACTATTGCATGGGCTGAACCGTACGTTGAATCTATAAATTTTGACCCTGGGCTGAACCGTCATTCGCCCAAAAATCAATCCATACATACTATTGCGTGGGATAAATTATGTTAAACCAAAATATGAGGGAGGAATGGGATTTAGGAAGATGGGGGCTTTCAATAAAGCCATATGTTTGTGAAACAAATATAAAGGTTGTTAACTGATGACAAAGGGCTCTGGGCTAAAGTAATAAAGAAGAAGTATGTGAAGAAAAAAAATCCTTGTTTCATCTTCAGACAAAATCGCATGACTCAACTTAAAGGAAAAAAGTAGAAGAATATAATGGAGCAAATAAAGAATAACTTAATGTGGCAGTTGAAAGATGGAAGGAAGATCCACATACTAAGACCCATGGAAACCCACTTTACAGGATGGTCACCCCAACTTAGGGAGAAAATGACAATCCAACCACACATTACTACTGTCCACAGAAAACTCATTTAATCATATAACCCAATTGACAAGATCATCCCAAATTCCTCATGACACTCTCAAATACCAAGCCTGCGAGCTCGGTTCATAGTGAAAGTTTTTCTCCTTTTTTTTGTACTTAAACTTTACATCAATAAAATATAAACATTTTGACTCTGTGCAAAACTTTCTAAGTGTAAACAACTCCTGGACTGGTGAACTAAACCAAATAGGAGTAAAAATGTGTAGGTTACCCCGAATTGTCAAGCTAACGAGCTGGACTATGAGTCGGGATAACTGAAGTAAATTTTTTCCAAGTGTAGGTTACCCCGAACTGTCAAGCTACGAGCTGGACTACGAGTAGGGGTACCTTCACATATTGTACGCCGAGGTGGGCGGACATTGTAGGGTATATACCCGACCTGTCTGCACACGGGCTATTCGCTTAGGTGTGGATTATCTCTTAGTGTCGAGCCATCGGGCCTGACCTCAAATGGGATCAACCTGTTGTTATATGCCGAGGTGGGCTAAACATAGTAGGGTTTGTACCCGAGTTGTCTATGCCTTGAGCATGAAAACTGATTTGCCTATGCCGAAGAGGCGACTAGGACTTATCTGCCTATGCCGAAGAGGCGACTAGGACTTATCCGCCCATGCCGAAGAGGCGACTAGGACTTATCCGCCCATGCCAAAGAGGCGACTAGGACTTATCGTAGTGTCGAGGTCTTATATCAGCTCGGCATCATGGCCCTTGGGCTTCTGGGAGTGACCCGCAATCCTCTCTCCAGCTCGATGATCACAAGTAGTATCTTCTTAGGTTGCCGATGTTCCACGCTCGAGTTACTTTCTTCCCTTCCAAAGTCTCGAGCTCGTACGTACCTTCCCCATATACCCGTCTTACTCGGTACGAACCTTCTCAAATTGGTCCGAGCTTACCGACACCGGGCTCAGGTACCATAACCTTCCGAAGAACCAGGTCGCTGACGCAAAAGTGTTGCTTCTTGACTCGGGCATTATAGTACCGAGCTACTCTCTATTGGTAAGTTGTAGTCCGGATGTATGCTAGGTCTCGTACTTCTTCCACCAAGTCTAGGTTAGAACGGAGCTCGTCATCATTCGTCTCTTCTTCGTAGGCCTCCAAGCGTAGTGTAGGCACCTCGATCTCCGTTGGGATCACCGCTTCCGTGCCACAAGCAAGGTTGAAGAGAGTCTCACCTATGGCAGTCTTAATAGTAGTCCGATGGGCCCATAGCACACTAGGTAGTTCGTCTATCCACAATCCTTTGGCTTGAGCTAGGTGGGCTTTTAGTCCACGAAGTATAGCTCTGTTGGTGACTTCCGCTTGCCCGTTTTCCTGGGGTTGTGCCACCGAGGTGAAATTTTGCTGAATTACCATTTCAGCACACCAATTCTAAAATTTTATATCCTCGAACTGCTTCTCGTTGTTGGAGATGAGTACTCGAGGTAGCCCGAAGCAACACACTATGTTCTTCCAAAAGAAGTTTTGTATGTTGCAGGTTGTGATTGTTTTTAGAGGTTCAGCTTCCACCCACGTCGTGAAATAGTCAACTGCCACGACCAGAAACTTCCTCTGTCCTGTCGCTGGCGGGAATGGGCCAAGTATGTCGATTCCCCACTGTGCGAAAGGCCATGGGCTGGTGAGGTATTTCAGGTCGTCAGTAGGTTGGTGGTGGATGTTAGCGTGCCTCTGATACTTATCGCACTTCTTGACGAGCTCGAGTGCATCTGCCTTCATCGTGGGCCAGCTGTAGCCCTGTCGTAACGCCTTCTGGGCGAGATCCCTGCCCCCAAGTGCCTGCCGCACAAGCCTTCATGGGTGTCGTGGAGAACAAACTCGGCCTTTGAGGGTCGCAAGCAGGGCAAGTAGGGGAGCGTGAAGGATCTCCTGTATAGCTGTCCGTCTATAATGACGTTCTTAGCCGACTGGCACTCTACCCTTCGGTCCGCATTGCGGTCGGTAGGGAGGGTCCCGTGAAGTAGGTAACTCATGAGTGGATCAGTCCAGCTCGACTCTACTTGTGCTACAGTAGTGACCTCTCCTGCCCCCCGAGAATGCCACATCGAGGTAAGTCCTCTATGTACACGGTCCGCATGGTGCTGCTGCTTGTACTGGGTAATCGAGATAAGGCGTCGGCCTTAGCGTTCTTGGATCGCGGGATCTGTCTGATGAAGTAAGAGATGAAGCTGCGCATGATCTCCCTGACTTTGGTTAAATAGGCAGCCATGGTGGGGTCGCGGGCTTCATACTCACCGCTGACTTGGTTGACCACGAGTTGAGAGTCGCTGCATATGACGAGGTGCTTAGCTTTTACTTCCTTTGCAAGAGCGAGCCCAACAACCAATGCTTCATACTCTGCTTCGTTGTTCGATGCTGGGAACCCGAACCGGAGTGCATATTCCAACTTCACCCCGCTTGGACCGTACAGAATTATTCCTGCACCGCTTCCTTGTTGGTTGGATGA